GAGGCCGACAGGTGCGCAACACGCATTGCAGACAGACACAACTGCCCAGTGTGTGTTTCTTCTCCTACTCTCTCTCTCTCTCTCTTCCTCTCTCAGGCGATTTTGCAGACGATAGCGTTTTTGCACTGGACGATAGCCGGTGTCACAGAGGAGGGGACCTTGTCAGGAGCCAGACACGTGCGCAACACGCATTGCAGACAGACACAACTGCCCAGTGTGTGTTTCTGCTCCTACTCTCTCTCTCTCTCTCTCTTTCGTTTTTCCAGATGATTTTGCAGACGATAGCGACTTTGCAGAAGGCAGCCGGTTTCCTGCCTGCCGGTGTCAACGACAACAGCGCCCCTGTGGTGCCGCCCAAGCCCAAGCAGCCGGCAGCTACTCTCACTGTGTCTTCTTCCTCCTTCCCGGCCCACCGCCCCAGCCTCTCACTCGACAGGCAGAACCTGGGCAACAGCGGATGCCTGGCGTCCAACGCCAGGGCCCACCCCCACTCTCACACCAACAACCAGCGGCAGGCCCCCATCATATCCGACCACCACTCGCGAAACACCATCCCCACGACAGACAGCGCGACCACAGAGCGCCCTTCACTGCTCAACCACATCAAGAAACAGCCGGTGGCTTTCGGTGATCTCAATGTACCTAACCGAGGCCCGGCCGGGCTGATAATGCATGACAAGCGCAACTTCCACCCAGGTGGCGGTCGAGCGGTTAACCCGGGTCAGCTGGCGGGGCGCCATAACGTGGGAGAGGAGGGGTTCATCGGCGAGGCGAGGGAGCGAGAGGGCCAAGTGACACAGGTGGTGCCGAATGGCGGTGAGGGTCGTGGTGCTGGTCGGGACGGCGATCGCAATGAGACTGCTGTGGGTGAGGCTTCGCGAGACACGGCTCCCGATGCTTCGCCAGGCCTTCCGCTGCACGTGGCACCGCTGGCTCACACGGACCTGAGCGTGGGCGCCCCAGCCGCAGCAGCTGGCGGTGGTGTGGTTGGTGGAACGCAGGAGGGTGATGAAGGGACGGGTGTGAATGCTGCAGATCAGGAGACCTTAACATGAGGCCGACAGGTGCGCAACACGCATTGCAGACAGACACA